TTGATCACCATGGTTATCTTTAATTTGTACAGACTTTATAGTTCCTTAGGGAAGGAGAACATTGCTTCCCTACATTGAAAGCAGATCACATTTCACTGAAATTCTTCATCTGTCAGCATCAATATTTATTGGAAATTGTTAATGTTCCTGGAATGAGGAACTTGAAGCCAGGGTCAAAAGAAACTGAAACTCAGAGATAAGATAGGAAGCATTAAAACAAGTATGAGATATCATCTCACCCCAGAAAGAATAGCAAAATTTAACAGAGTAGCAAACAACAAATGCTGGCAAGGTTGTGGAGAAACTAGAACCTTTATTCACTGTTGGTGGGATTGTAAAATGGTGCAACCACTATGGAAGACTGTAGGGCACTTTCTCAAAAAGTTGCAAATTTGACCATTTGACCCAGCAATTACTCTATTGGGAATACACCTTAAAGAAACCATAACAATCACCCAGGCAGATATATGCACACCCATGTTTATTGTGGCTTTGTTCACAATAGCAAAGGGTTGGGAACAACCTAAGTGCCCATCGACAAACAAATGGATAGAGAAGCTCTAGTATATTCATACAATGGAATACTATGCTGCATTGAAAATAAGGAATTAATGCAATATTATTCAAAGTGGGTGACCCTGGAAGACATTATGCTGAGTGAAATATCTCAGTCACAAAAGGACAAATACTGCATGGTGTCACTGTTATAGAATGGGACTGACGTCAGGGTTGGGGTGAGACTGAGAAAAATTGGATAAATTATGTAGACTGTATTGAAACAGATGAGGGAGAGAAGAGCTTAAAATATGATTGGGTATTATGGTTATGACAAGAATCCAGAATGAAAGCTGCATAGTGGAATCTACGCTGGGTTGGGGGAGGGGATTGCATACCAATGAAAGAATTTTTTTTTATTTCTCAAAGAGAACAGCAAACGGAGCAGGGGACAGGGAGAAAAATGCGACAATGAATGAATGGAAATCCAAAATATCTGTAAACTTTCATTAAAATTAATAAAATAATTTTTTTAAAAAAGATGGGAAGCATTTATGTAGGCCTCTGACATGCTCTAGTGAAGAGCAGGGGTGCCCCTCCTCCCTGGGTGGGGGTGGACTGCTCGGTCTTCATTTTTTGAAGAGGCAGAGAGAAGACTTAGGAACATCCACAGGCAATGACTATGTTCTGTCTCTTTGAAGAGAGAAGATCTTGGCTTTTCTCACAGATGCTTTGCTAAGTCACATACAGTTATTGGATCAGAGTGTCAGTAGATGTGAACTTCAGTGTGAAAAAGACCAAAATTGTGGTTGAAGATGTGGTGGGATGCTAATGGATTAGCCTTAAATCAGCTGTTGTCACTGAGCAAATTTGAGTCCTTACACCCTCACTTCTCAACTTCTGGAATTTCACTCTTAACATATACACCAGTTGCAGCATCCCTAAATAATGCATTTATATCAAGTTCAGTTCTCAATTTCTCACATCATTACCAACATATTAAAATATTGATAGAAATATGAACATTTAGTAAAGATATATATTTTATTTGTTTTTAAAACTTGTTGTGTGCTGTAGAATCAGATTGGAGTGGCACAGGAGAAGATTGCCCCTCCTTTTCCAGCAGAGCATCTGGTTGTATTCGAACCATTAGCCTTTGGGATTGCCGCACAGCTTGAATATACCATGGACTACTAGGAGAACAGGGTTGATCCTAGACGGGGTGAAACCAGACTGGTCCTTGGAGGCAAGGATTCTGAACCTTGTCTCACATACTTTGGACATGTTGCAAGGAAGAACCAGTCCTTGGAGAGGGACTTCATGCTTGGGAGGGTGGAGGGACAGTACAGGAGAAGAAGACCCTCGATGAGATGGACTGATTCAGTGACTGGGGTCATGGGGGTAGGTGTGTTGGAGTCAATGAGATTGGCACAGGATAGAGCAGCGTTTAGGGATGTTGTACATAGGGTCGCTGTGATTTGCAGGCAACTCAACAGCACATAACAACAACAACAACAACAACAACAACAAATGTTTGATTAGATTTAAAAATATTAAATGGATTTACCTATCAGACAGTTTTAGAATACTGTTAGAAAATGTGTTGACAGAAATACTCATTTCCTCTTTGGCTAAACTTTGAACCAGATAATAGAAAGGTTTATAAGGTGAACAATAGCATCAGGCAGGTGTATGCACTCCTTAGAACAATCAACTAAATGAGACCAGAGCGGTAGCATTTGCCAAAGGAGAAGTCTTAGAAGGCAGGGAAGGATAGGAAAAAGGGGCAAATGGAAACAGTAAACACAAGGAGGAAGTGAGGGAAGGGCCAGTCCATTGTGAGGATTGCAACCAACATCATGAAGCAAAATGTGAATGAGTCATTGAATGGAAAATGTTCTGTAAACTTCCACCCAGTTGCAACAAAAACTTTAAAAACAGTAAAATTCTTAAGTAACACTATACCTTTCTGGGTTAGTCAACTATTTGGTTAATTTGGTTTTCGATAATGGGATGATAATTGGTATGTATTCAAAGGTTTTGGTAATGAAAATAGTAAAATGCATCACAAGTAAGAAAAACTGTCTCCTTTATGTGGGTTGGGTGTGTGTGGATCAACCCCACATACAAACAAAGGACTCCTTTGGTTGACAGTTTACCTGAACACATGGCACGAATCAATTTGTAATGGGTATTTTGAAAGATTTTGTGGCTGATACAGATGTGAGGGAGAAATTATCCTAGCAGCTATGTAGAGTCCAAGCTTATGAAATTTTCTTTTTAAACTGGAAAATGACTTCTTTTCTCTGCTTGCTTCTTGCTAGTGAAATAGTCAAGTATTTGACAGACAAATGGTTATTGATAGGGTATCCAACTTTCTCATTTTGTTTGGAACTGAGGGGTTTCTTGGGAAACCAGAATGAGTTGGCCACTCTGTGTGACTTAGTGGAAATTAGGAAAATATTAAGGGTATTGTAGATTAGTGGACAGAAAGATGTATCTTTATCTATCTGTGTTATGGTTTACTGTTCTTAAATTATACATAAATTTATGGAAAATAGAAAGTTGCTTATTATTTTCCTAGTCTAGCATTATAGCTCTTTATTCCCTTTGTCATGTTTTTCAAATTTTCTTTGAAATATTATGCTAGCAATGTTCAGAATTGATCTAGAGAACCATAATTTTAACACACATCTTCTAGTTTCATGAGAGATAATAATGTCCCAAATAGAATGAATTAATAAATTTTTAGTTCTTTGAGACTGTGGTATTCTCTTAATATAAAGAAGTTTTCTTAAAAAAGTGAAATAGAAAAAGAGAAATGCATTCTAATATGGACTTGCTCTTGTTCAAAATAGTATCAGAAACCACTTTAGGCAAATACTGAATAATAAAACTTAACTAAAGATGTCTGTGTGTTGTTAATTTTTTTAATGTTATCTGAAATAATTACACAACCTACGTTTTGAGTTTACAGAAGAGAGTTAATGTATTTAATCTTAAGCCTGTAGCTTTTTTGGGTTCTTTTTGTCTCATTTCCAGTTATTAGGCGCCAGTTTTCTAGTGTTTAAACATTAGAAATAAAAAAAATACCAAGTGTTGGTTTGCAAGGAAGCCTAATGAAGCTTCAATAGCTGTATCAAAGGAATTCTTTCCAAAGTGGTATTACAATATAAAAATAATAAAATCATACTGAACATTACCAATAGTTTAGATGAAAATAAAGCTAAATGAAACCAACTTTTAGTTTGCTGGTAGTTGTTTAAGGAGTCTAGAGAACCTGGAACAAAACCCAGTTGTATCAGTCTGGTAAATGTTTAGGTGAATGCTTTCATCACTCTGACAAAATGAGAGGGGTTTGCTAGACTGTTCCTATGGTGCCATAAATTGTAAATATCCCATAATTTTGTCTACAACATTCCAATAGCATCTTAGAGGAAGTGTGGCTCTCTACTTCCACTACTTCTCTGTATAGGCATTGCCTTGGAACGATGGCACATGGTACTACAGTTTAAGGAAATGCATCTTCTTCAGATGTGAAGGTGAACATTCCCAGTGCTCTAGCCACCTACCACCACTCAGTGTAAGACTGTGGATCGTATTAATTGCACTTCAGATCTTGGACAAGTTTCTTCTTTTTTTTTAGACTCTATGTATCTGTTTGTTAAGGAACACTGGTGGCTTAGTGGTAAAGGTATGTTATTCAAATCTGCTAGCTTTTCTGTGAGAGCAAGATAGGCAGTCTCCTCCCATGTGGTTTATTTCCCCTGAAAAACCCACTGAAGGGTTAGCAATGGGTCAGTTCCAACTCGGTGATAGACAACAAAAAGAAGAACGACTGTAGTGCTTTTTTCTTTTCAGAAATCCTTCCTTTATGTTTAACTTTCCTTTAAGCCCTTAAGATGTCTTTCTTTTTTAAAAAAAAGTAAGATGTAGATTAATTATAGAGGTTTTGGGGGTCCCCTCCTTTGTTATTTCCCTTCTCCTCTTTTCTACAGGCAGAAATCTTTAGAACTTCTTCTTCTTCAAGATTCTTCATGAATCACATCTCTTTCCTAAACTGCATGACCTTTGGGTAATAATTTGATTTAATATTCAGCTACTGTGGACAAACTCAAGGCATTAAGGTTCTCCTGGATTTTTCGTGGACAATCCTGAAAACCTCTGATTAGGGTGAGACCTTAAGATCCTATTTCACCTTATGACATCTGTATCTATGTCAGACACAATGTAGCTGGTGTGCAGTTTACTGGCTGCAAAATAATGGATAGCAATGAGAACCAAAAGTCTTTAGTAGGAAAATAGAGTTTTAGATCCATAAGTTCACATTTTGATTTAGAAAGTATAGCAATATAGAAAGTTAATTATGGAGAGTATGAAAGAGGAAATGCGTATTTCTGAACCTGTTCATTCCGAGGATACCTCTTTGGACTCACTCATGAGTGGCTGGAAGACTGTCCATTGAGAACAAATGGTTTTTACAACATGCAAAGCTTTTATTGACTTCATACATACTTTTGGATCTCATTCACTATTCTTCCATTGACGCTCTCCTGTGTGATGGCCTTGATCTTGGGAACTGTAGAAACCAAGGAAAAGAAGCAGAGAACATGTCACTAATATGGCATGCACTATACTATCTGATCTGTGCTGTCAAGTTCCTGAATTTCTGTACCTTCCAAAATGATTATAACCAATATGGCAGATTTTTCTGTAATTAAAGGAAAACTCACAAAGCGAGTTCTTCCCTTCCATTCTCTAGGGAACGAGCATATATGAACAGGGTCACCTTTTGACTTTTCAGCCCGTGGTTCTAGGAATGCCTGATGAAGAATCCAGTTTCTGATGCTGAAGTCCCTTCTGTCTGTGTGGGCTTTGTAATGCTTGGACCACCGAATTGATGAGCTTACAGAGCACGAATGCCCTTTTGGGCACTTCATTTTAAGAGGGTCAGTAACACATCCACAGGGCTGAGGACAAGCCTAGGAAGCATGTCATATGAGGGATGGGTAGGAAGTCAAGAATGATTATCATTGTCACTATTGACAATGACCTAGAATTCACAAATTGATTCTAGATCAGAGGACAGAATTGAAAAAAACTAATGGAACTACAGAGGAGAACTTTAAAATGAAACCTTTCCAACTTTAAAGTAATGGATTCCCATTCCTAGATATAAAGAGAGGCTGAAGGATCGTCTAACAGAATCTTTCAGAGGGGCATCAATTATAGCAGCTGTTCTTTTAAGTTTCCAGTAAGGAGCTCTGGTGGCCTAGTGGTAAGAAGCTGTGCTGCAGTCCCAAAGTCATGTGGCTCAAATCTACCATCTGTTCCATGGGAGAAGTATGGTATGGGCTTTCTCCTCCCATGCAGTTTACTGTCTCTGAAAACCCACAGGAAAGTCAGCTATGAGTCAGTTCCAACTTGACAGCACACAACAACATGCCTTAGGACACTTTCACTACAATTTATTCAGAGAATACTGCCTGTCTGTTCCCCAGAATTTTCTGTGAGAGTATAAAAATGCAATCTGAGAAAAATAGGATTCCAGTTAAAGAAGCTTATGAACATTGGGTTAAAAAAAAAATCTTTGCTGTTGCTTCTTTACATTTCTTATTCCTTTCTTCTCAACAGCAGTACTTGTTTAATCCTTAGCATTCTAAGATGCAACTGACTCTTCAAGGGGAAGACAATGGGACATAGTTTTCCACAAACTTCTTTCATAATACAGTATTTAAATCTCATGGAACAACAGAATATAAACTGGGAGATTATGCGGAATCATTTCCTCTTAAATGTCTGCGTTTAGTAAACAGTTTTCATTATTTAATGCTTTTGTTGTTTGCTACTGTCGAGCCAGTTCTAACTTGTACCCACCTTATATGTAATAGAATGAAATGCCATCTAGTCCTGTACCATTACTTAATTGTTGTTGTTATTGTGTGCTATCAAGTCAGAACTGACTTATAGCTGAACTTTCAATGGTTTTTCAGAGGCAGTTTAATCACATGGGATGAGATTGCCATCCTTCTCCCAAAGAACAGTTGATAGGTTCAAACTGTGTGCCTTTGGGATTGCAGAGCAGCTTCTTACCACTGGGCCACCACAACTCCTGTTATTTAATAAAGGCACAGTATTATAATTTTTTTTAAATGTGTATTTTTTTAGGGAAGTCAATATTGTAATTTTTATTTATTCCTTGCAAAGAACTTTTGCATTTATTTGAATGTTTACTTTGTTCTCTATTACAGAATTTCTTAAATTGCTTCAAAATTCCTAGCCATTAGTGATTAAAATTCACCAGTACATTTTGGGGTATGCTAAGAATTAAGTGATAGGGTGAATAAAAGAACTTGCTGCATTGAAAAAGAAATAGATTCAACAAATGAAAGAATTCTTTCTTACCTTTTATATTGGACTTAGATTCATCCATTATCCTGTAAAAGTGATAGAGGTTAAAGCTCATTTTAGTATTAGCAACAATTTAAAGAGTTCAGTGTGAACTAACTTCCTTTGCCTGCTTGTAAATTCTCAGCTCTTTAATGGAGCTGATTGTCTGAGGCATACAAGGTTGAGTTCACTGGGAGAAGCCTCTCAGAGCCAGGGGCTGTGTGTGCTGTCTCTCTAACCTGTGTTCAGGAGGAGTCTCCCAAACCCTGCTCTTCTTTGAGCTGACTGCAGACTTTGCCTCCACACACTTGTAGGCTCCCCTTTGAAGACTTCAAAATTTGGTCCAACAGTTTTATATTTTTGTATTTTAAATTCTTTAGGTCACAGGGTATATGTGTTCCTTGTATAGACAACCATTGCAATTTCTGAGCTGATTAGAAATACTAAATTGAAAGTCTAGGCCTTTGAAGCCTTTACGAATCTTTTCCTATTTGCTGTTAGACTAAAACACTCCCCCCCCCTTTCTTTTTTGGCCAGAATTATATGTATTCCTATTGGGGAAACACTATAGCCAAATCATCTTAGTTAGGTTTTTTTAATATTTCTTTAATATATTAATTTTAACTGTTCTTATATCAAATTTTGGTATTGTCTAAGTAAGACTGCAACTAATCAATTAGCAGCCATGGCTTAATGAAATATTGCCTGATGTAAGACTAAGGTACACCTGATCTAAGCCATGGTCTCTTTTTAAAATTTTTTTAATTTGGTCTTTCCAATTCTTATGCATCTGAAAGTTGGACAATGAGTAAGGATGTCAGATGGATAATCGATGCCTTTGAGTTGTGGTGTTGGAGAAGAGTATTGAGTGTCCCATGGACTGTCAAAAGAAACAGCACGTCTGTTTTGGAGGGAGTGCAGTCAGGGTGTTCGTTCCTCAGAGGCAAGGATGGTGAAACTTTGTGTCACATTCTATGGACATGTTATCAGGTGGGGCCCATCCTGGGAAAAGGCCCTTATGCTGTGAAAACTGGAGGGTCAGAGAAATAGAGGAAAACCTCCCTCAAACTATATTGACACAGTGACTGTAACAGTGGGCTCAAGCATATCAGAGAGGTGAGGCTAACACAGACAAGGCAAGGTTCAGATCTGTTGTTCATAGGGTCACCACTATAAGTTAGTTGACCCAACACCTAGCATCAGCATCAACATATGTCTTTAGAAGAAATGCAACGTGAATTCTTTCTTCACAGAGTGACAAAAGGTAATAGAGTCTATCAGAGATGTGAATGTACACACAAGTATCAGATGTCTTTTGTTGACATACCCTTCTCACACTAGCCTTTGCCTTACCCTTCACTCTCTCCCTCCAGGAGCTGGCGGTAGGTGGCAATCTCCTTCTCTAGGTGGGTTTTGATGCCTAGGAGGACCTTGTATTCGTAGTTCTGATGCTCCAGGTCATGGCGGAGCTGCCTGAGTTCTCCCTCATAGTGGGAGATGATCTGTTGCATGTCCTGGAGCTGGCAGGAGTACCGAGACTGGGTCTCTGACAACATGTTTTCCAAAGCAGATTTCTGAAAGAGAAAATATTTCTCCTGCTTAGTGATTGCAGAATACATTGAATCACTAACATGCACTTATTGACTACTTGATTTTGCCTATCATGCTGCTAGGAGATATGGTAGCCACTGAGAACACAGGGTGAGAAGGAGAGTGGAACACATTGAAACTTTGGAAGCTCCAGTTTTGTACATCAGAGAATTCGAGGCTGCTCAGCTGCACTCCTGCAGTGTTTATTGTCTCTTATTTGGGGTTGGGCATCTGCTTCCAGAACTGAACTGATGCTTACCTTCTTGACTGCTAACTAAAGGGTTGGTAGTTTGAATGTACCAGCTATTTTGTGGGAGAAGGATGTGGCAATTTGCTTCTAGAAATGTTACAACCTTGGAAGCCCTATTAGTTTCCTGTCCTATAGGGTCACTGTGAGCTGGATAATGATAGTAAGATTAGAGCTCTTTCATTCCAAAATACTATGCCCACTTGTAAGCTGTGTGCCTGATCAATTTAGTTCATCATTTGGAGCGTTAGTTGCTTGATGTCTAAATTGAGGGTCCTAAGACCTAATTTAGGGAGCTCTGGTTGCCTAGTGGATAAGAAGTTGCTCTGCCCAGCTAAGGGCATGAGGTTCAAAACGATCACTTGCTCCCTGGGAGAGCTGATGATTTTGAACCATCAGTGTTTCAGTCTCCTTCTGTGCAATTTGTCAGTCTCCTCCTGTATAATTTATAGCCTCTGAAAACCCACTGGAAGGTCAGCTGTGAGTCTGTCCCAACTCGATGACACCTGACAAGAAGACATATCTGGGCAGGTTGATAGTGAGAGGATCAACAATGTTTCATTCAGTGAATGATTTGGCACAATAGTGATACTTAGTAAATAATAGCTCTTATCATTTTGAACAATTTAGATGCAGAGAAGAAAGTAAGAGATATTCCAAGGGAGGTGAGGAGTTGAGGCTAAAGAGAAAAGTGAAGGAAGACTTTGTGGAGGAGGTTGTACCTGGTCCAGAAATTTCCCAGCACATACTCACCCTGCTGAGCTGTGCATGCAGGTCAATCTCCAGAGCCTGGAAAGTCCGCTTCAGCTCATGAATGTCATTTTGGCTGCCTGGGACAACTGCTGGTGCGGCCATCTCCTGGGACATAGCTGCAGCCTGGAAGATCAAGCAGAAGGCAGAGGCACTGGCATTGGGATCACATAGCAATATCACCACTACTATGTTAGGGCCCTTTTCTTCGTTACCTGTTCTTTAAACCAAGTGTCCACTTCTTGATGCTTCTTTTTTATGATCATCTCATATTCTTGCCTCATATCCTTCAGGATCTTTGTCAGATCTTCTCCTGGAGGTGCATCCACCTTCACATTGACCTTGAAGTCATTTGGCATATGCTGTTTCTCAATTTCCTATTTAATAACAGAGAATGAAAAGGAATCACACATGACAATCAGAAGGCAGGAAGTAAGTGGAGATTTTGAAAATGATGGTTATGCAGAGGATGGAGCAAGACAGGGCGATGCTTTGTCCTTCTGTCCATTGGGTCACTCTGAGTCAGAACCAACTTGACAGCACCTAACAATAACAAAACCCCTTTTCCCTGTCTTTTTTCCCCCCTCAGCTGTTAGTTGATGACAAAACATTATATTCTTTTTCGTCTTATAATTTTACAAGGCAAAGAAGCAAAGAATAACACCAGACAGGTAATTAAGTGGCTTTTGTGACTACTACTTAATTCCTGCTAAAAAAAACATTTCAGAAAGAATTATACTTGCATAGAGCATCAAGGCCTGCTCAGGAGATGTTGTTCATAGGTGCTGTGGTTACACAATCAGTGGAACATTTCAGGTTGTGGGGCAAAGCCTCTGGGAAGCAGTTCAGTAACCAAAAGCCAAAATATGTAGAGGCTTTTAACATCTTGTCAAATGTATTATGACTGTGCAGGGCTAATGCCCAGAGGATTCCATGAAAAGTAAGCAGCCACAGGAAAGGCTTAATTAGCAGTCATTGTCTGACCAGCTGTTCAGAAACACAACCTCTTTGATGTGTAGAAACAATTTTGTTTGCCTAGATTGGGGCTTGTTTATCATTTGATCAGACGCTCAGAGAATTTAGGTGGATGATGGCTTTCTGAAAGTCAGATAAATGCTTCTGGAAATTGATATTCTTGATTTTTGCCACAAATTTTATTTACTTTGGCCAGTGATCTGTTATCATTATTCTATTGGTCTTGAATTTATTGAGTCAGTGTTCATTAGGCCAATGAAAGAAGTTCCATCTGATGCATTCATTCTTACAGCAACATGTTCATGAGTGAGATAAATATTTCTTATTAGCAAATTTGTTGGTTAATTTGGATTGCTCTTTGGCTGTTGTAGTTGACATTTAAGTAGATACTTTTTAAGTTAAAAAAGGGAAATATCTTTGAGATATTTATATAGTTTCTTAGAACACTTTGGACTCCTTGAGTGGCTGTTATGCTCAATGGCTGGCGGAAAGACTGATGGTTAGAATGAATGCACCCTCGGACACTATGGAAGAAAGAGCTGGTGGTCTGTTTCTAAAAGAAAACATGTATCAGCATTGAAAACCCTATATATCAAAATTCTATTCCGACCCATGTAGAGTCACCATGATTCAGAGTTGACTAGCTATTAACTATCTGGTTTTTAATTTGGCTTATAATTCAACTGCACATAACAAGAACAATGATTCTTTTTTATGGAAAGAAAACAGGTCTGACATGCAGATAGTCCTTTCCATGGGATATACAGGTTAATGCATGCCTGGGGCACTTCTACCTCTTCATGGTGCTTCTTCATGAGGATGAGTTCTTTCCTCATGCCCTCCACCTCTTGTTCCAGGTCTGTTGTCACAATGGTCAGATTGTCCAGGGTTTTTCGGAGGCCCTCAACCTCAACTTCCAAGTCTTTCTTGAATGAGTGTTCATTTTCATACCTGTAGTTAAGAGGAGAAATACAGCAGTTGTTGGAAGGCTGTGCTTGTACGTTTTCTCCTCAGTGTAAAGGTGCAAATCCCCCTTTTATTTTTTTAATTTTTTTTTTTTTTGCAAATCCCCTTCTGAGAGTAAGTGTACACAGAGTGCATTCTTGCTATATCTGTTTCATGCCATGTTTTCCTAGGATTCTGATTCAGTTTTTCAATTTAGCAGTGAGGGCAGAATCATAAACAGCTGCATGCTCACCATCTAGACCTAGCAGTCACTGACTCTTTCCATATTTGCTTTGTCATTTCTTTGCTAAATTATTTTAAAGTGAATTGAAGACATTGTGGGATGATTTGAGTGTTCAAACAGCAACTGCAGAGTCATCTAGAAAGAAAATGTCTTAATTATCTTCAGAAAGGTCAGACCCATTGAGCATTGTGTGGAGCACATGGGTTACCAAGTGTTAGAACTGACTCAGTGGTAATTGAGTTTTGCTTTTGTATAGATCTTATCATTGAATACTTAGCACTGAATACTTCAGGATACAATTTTTTAAAAAAAAACAACAAACGATATTTTCATAAATAACCATAATATCACTTGCTTACTCATTGCCGTCAAGTTGGGACTGTAACTGACCCCATAACTAAGCCTCCAGTGGGTTTTCTGAGGCTGTAAATTGACACTGGAGGAGATGGCCACTTTCCTCCTGTGGAGCTCCTAGTGGATTTGAACCACCAGAGAGACTCCACCTTTGGGTTAGCAGTGCAATTCTCTGTAGACTATGCCACCAGAGCTCCCTAGAGTACCACAAATCACCCCAAACTATTGATTTTGTTTTAGTATCATCTAATGCTGGGAAAGGTGGAAGGTCAACAAGATGGACTGACACAGTGACTGCAATAACGGACTTGAACATGTTGGAGATGGTGAGGCTGATGCGGGGTAGGGCAGGGTTCAGTTCTTTTGTGCATAGGGTTGCTATGAATCAGTAGTCTCAAGGTCACAGGGCAACAACAATGATTCTTAGTTCAAAAATTCTGGTGCTATAGTGGTTAAAGCACTCTAAGGTATTGGGCTGCTAACAGAAAGGGTACTGGGTTGATTATTTAAATTTACCAAGAGATTTGCTGGAGAAAAATGTGGGGTCTCCTTCCATAGAGCTTTACAGCTTTGGGAAGCTATGGGACTATGCGTTGGGATCAAGACAATGATAGTGAATTTTGGATAATGTTTGATTTAGAATAAAATTTCCACATTTGACTCCTAAAGTTATATAGCTGACTTGTTTGAACGAGGGCTCAATCAAATGCCACATAAAGCCTTTGGTTATTCTACTTCTTAACTATAATTTGGGAGCTCTGGTGGCCTAGGGGCAAGAAGCTACACTGAAATCCCCAATGCACACAGTTCAAAGCCACCAGCTCCTCCATGGGAGAAGGATGGGCAATCTCCTCCCACCTGGTTAACTGCCTCTGAAAACCCACATGAGGCGTAAACAACAACAATTATAATTTAGTAAGATTTCAGATAATGCAAGGTAAGTTTTCCTTTTGTAACAAAAATAACAGCAAAGTAACAAAAACAAAGAACACTGATAAGGAGGCACTTACTTGAGGCTGAAGTCATCCACTGCCATCCTGGCATTGTCAATGAGTAGAATGATCTGCGCGTTGGCTGCTTTACCATCAGCTATCTGTAAAATGTGCAAGAAAAAGAATTTCATTCGAAATTGCATGGAATGGCTGCACTTCTGCTCTCTAGTTCTGGGGTACTTGGCTGTCAATACAATTTCTTCTCTGGCCTGGAATGAAAAGTAATCAAGCTAGAATTTTTTTTAGCATCTGCTAGGGATAAAGCACAAAAATGATTTCATGGTAAGAAAAAGATAAGGTATGCAGTCAGTTTGGCAGTCTTTTTAAAAATATTGCTGTAACTGCTAAAAGGATGAATTTAAAGGTAAGGAACAGATGGTAATTATTCAGAACACCTTTTGCTTTCTAATATTGTGCGTATATGTTTGTATTTTGTTTATGTTGATTCACATCTGAAAACGTAATGCAGATTTTTAAGCTCTGATCCCTTTCTCGCTGGTAATATTAGTTTAGATCTCCAAAAGCATAAAAAAATACAATTTTAATGAACATAATTCTTTACTGTGATAGAATTGTATTTTTGGTCAGTGTTATTTGAGAGTTGACTAATTTTAAATGCATTTAGCATACTCATCACACAGTTTATTTCCCCCTTAAATTGTCTGTCACCATATAGTTTACAGGTATATGCGTGTGTTTTTAACTTATTCCATGATGGGACTGCCCAGTGGTAGCTATTAAAATATTAGCTACAATGACTTTCATATAAGGAAGCAACTTAATAGGTTTTAACTGCTAAAAAAAAATCCCAGTGACATTGAGTTGTTTCCAAGTCATAGTGATCCTCCATCATGTTTTCCAACCTCCTTGGTGAGGGACATCATGCTTGGAAAGGTGGGAGGTCAGCCAAAGAGAGGAAAGTCCTCCAACAGATAGATTGGCACAGTGACTGCAGCAGTGGGCTCACATGTCAGAAATTAGGAGGTTGGCACAGGATACTACAGGGTTCAGATCTGTTGTTCATAGGGTCACTGTGATTCATTCCCAACTTGATGGCTTCTAACAACAACAACAACAACAAAAAATCTTTATAGGAGGAGACTGGTCATCTTTCTTCTATCAAACAGCTAGTGTATTTGAACTGCTGACCTTTGGTTTAGCAGAGCATCACCTATAATACACTCTGTCACCAGATTATATATTAAGTATTGTAATAAATGTGGTATATTATATATCAGACAGAGCGTACATTTGATGTCACTGCCTTTAGGGGGGAAAAGGTGGAACGTGTTTCAAAGTATTATATTAGCTAGAATGTTGGATGAGAACCAGGTAGATTTTGGTTCTGGCTGTTGCCATCAGCCTGAGTGTGGGCCAGCCCCTGAACAATTTTATCATGTGTTAAATGAAGTGTTTATGCTAAAACACGCTTGTTGTTGTGGTTCTTTGCTGTCAAGTCAAGCACAACTCATAGCGAACCTATTAACAAAAGACCTGAAGCCTTTCTATAACCATCATTTCTCAAAGTTCATAGTTTCCAGAGGCATGCTGCATAGGAAGTGGATGCCACTCCTGCCTAGACCTATCAAATTCTAGCTCTAAATGTTGGTAATGCAGTTAGGGCCAGAGAATTTTATGACATCCCCATTGTATTTTATGTAGCAAATTCCTTTATTCAAAAGGATTTTCTTAGGACAAAGTTATATCTCATTACAAAGGCACCTTTTAAAGCCTGACTCCTATTTGAAGCTCCACTGATTTCCTGGAATTTGATATCATGAATGCACAATAGCAGGATTCAGAGATGGTGAGAACACTAGGTCTGCAACTTTGGGAGGAGGAAATAGATCCAGCTCCCGAGATGTCACCTGGGTGACATTATCTGAGCCTTGGTTTCTTCATAAAGGATAATAGCTACTGCATCAAAGAGTTACAACTAAGTAATTAATACTATAAAATACTTAACATATTCTTGGTATACTATCGACACAGGAAAAACGACTTTAAATGGAGTTTCTTCAGATAAATGAAACTAATATTTTTTTAAGAAAATAATTTTTTTAAAATATAATATTTTTTTTAAAAAATAATTTTTTTGTGCCGTCAAGCTTCAGCACTGGAAAAATCCTTGGTAAAAGACCAAAGATGGATAAGTTCCAGGCTGAAACCTGAGTGTAAAAAATAATTTTTTTAAAAAAAATCAAACACTGTCATAATTAGAATGAAATGTCCCCAAGAGTATTTGCACATGGAGTTTATTTTCTGAAAAATCAACCTCTGAAAACTCTATGCAGCTCAGTTCTACTAATACACATGAGTCACCATGATTCAGAATCAACTGATTATGAGGTACTGGCTGAGCTCTAGAAAAATCATGCACCGTATAGTCCACGGAATTAGAATATTAAAAACTGCCATCTGTTGAGTTATTTTACTTTAGTGCAAACTTCAAAACTGCTAACTTACTATAGCAAAGTGCATGTTAAAGAAATGTTTAGTGTCTTAAACCAACATTCCAACATTTTCATAGGACCTGAGTGATGAGTTCTGAAAGCCTTCAGTATGGATCACAATAAAAACTTGAACTATTTTTCATTGTTTGCACAGACTTCATTAAGTATTATGATAGGGCCACAGTTCCTGAGACACTCTTTGCCCTAATGAATGATGAGGAGCTATTGAGAAATAATATGAGGCATCAGTTTTACATTGTGTGTTGCAGTTAATCACCTGGATTCTCCCCTAGGCTCTGAGTTCATTCTTTCAAAAGCTATAGTTGCTGTGTTAGCTGCAGCCTTATTGCTGCAGGGCATGGAATCTCCTATAGAGTAAGGAAAACAGGACTTTGATGGTAAACCAAAATGCCAAATACTGAGAACTATTTAGAGCTTTTTAACTTTCAGATCCCTCTGACTATATCCAATTCTGTGTTTCAAAGGTATTGACTTACTTTTTGAACAAAATTTCTTAATACTCTTTTAGGGTAATATTTAATATCTCCAAAAAGGGAAGCGGCTATTCATTATTCAGAGCTCTTTCGCAAGGTTTTAAGCACTAGGTAATTAAGTGACGTTTTAGAGTAAATTGGTTTTCTGTTCTATTGTCTATTAATTGGGGTTGTCAGATTAGATAGACAACTATGCCTTCAAAGAGTTGCTTTCTTCAAGCACAGAGAAAATACAACTGAATTAAGAACACCAAGAAAGAGACGTGTAGGATTTGAAACTGAAGAAGTCCATATTGAATCTCTGAATCCAGAATCTTCAGACTGGCTGGAGAGTGTCCCCTCATCATTATTGCCACCATTAACTTTTCTCAATTCTGTCCCAGAGAATTTAGGTGACCACTTACCCACTAGCCTGCTTATAATTGGGAGAATGAACTGAAGCCTAGGAAATATGTTTCCTATGACTGAAATGCAAATGTAGGAGATTGTCTTTATTAATAGTAGTACTGATATAAAAGACAGGCTAGTCAGTTTCACCTTGTAGTGGAGATTTCTGGGTCATGCTAGAGCTTGAATCCCAACTCTGCTTCTTGCTAAGGGCTTTGGATATTTTGTCTGGTTTTTCTGAGCTTCGTTTTCTTTTCACAGCTGTTTGTGTGAAGTAAATCACAATATTGTCATCATTGCAGAAAGCTCTATTGATACTTAGGCTGAGCACCCAGCGTGATGCTTAGCACATAATAAGTGCTCAATAAGTGTTCCCCTCTCCCTCATCTTTTCTTCTATCAGCTAATAAGTGGCTTGACCTATTTTGTTTGGGAGTCATGTTCAGCTCCCCTTCCAAATACCTGTCTATTCTAAAACCCAAGCACCTTTCCCAAACTGAAAACATAGTGAAGATTGTTGAGTCAACTTGTTTTTTTTCACGAAGACAACTGTGCACTATATAGTTAAGGTGATTGCACAGTCAGACATTAGGCTGATTATTCTATAATGAGGGTTCATTATGAGGACAGATTTATACTATCTTGATTGGTTCTTGCTACATTCAAGCAAAGGTAACTCAGTGCTGCAGAATAACACAGCGTAGATATTAGAAACCTGTGATGCCCTTTCTGGGACAGGTTAAACCACACTCCTACAGAAAATGTCCAGAGAGTGCCTCACACAGGAAGAGAACTGATGAAATGACTAGAGTTTTTCTACTTTCAGTTAGTGACACAGATGTCCCAGAAGGAATGAGTTTAGATTTACTTGATGTTTGGTTCAAAAGTGGATTTTTAAAAAAGTCACCCATCTGACTGACTCTTAAGAATTTGTATTTATGCCCATTTTATTATATTTTTCTAGACTTATGCCATTATTTTCAGACTGAGCAACTGTCATAGCAGCTCACAGGGTTGTCAGAATGACATCTGCTGGTGGAGTGAGTTTTTAAGTGTGATTTCCAAAAGGCTCTAACTTGGTATTTCCTGAATGGCTCTGACCATGTTTTCTCTAGTACTTTGAGGCAGAGCAGGCAGATAGAATGGGGGAAAAGCAGTGCTCTCTTGGGCTATATACTGTAAGCATGCAAAACAAATACTTGTTCTTATTATTATATTTTTGGGTTCATAAGTGGTACATGGCACTTATTTCCAGAAAGTTGGCTTATATCAGTGAAAAATCAAGTAAGTAGAATTTTTAAAATAGTCTTTGCACTTTTGTGAGTTTTGTTGCCTTCACTTGCCACATTATTTGCATATGGAAGATTAATTATACAAAACAAACTTGCCCAAGCCTGAATGTAAAGTATAAATAAGAATGCCTTTGTGCACAATTACTTTAAGCTGACTTACTGTTTTCTGAGAAACTGTCTTCTGTACTGATTTCTCCTCGCAGGAATCCCCTGGAAATGTAACAGTATCTGTAGCCCCAGGGGCACCCATGACCTTACCTGCTCCTGAAGGTGACTGATGTTTTCTTCATATTGAGAGTAATCTTGCTTCTTGCTGGAATCCCTCTGCTGATGCCACTCCAGGATGTGACTTTCCAGCTTCACATTGGCCTCCTCTAAGGCCCGTACCTTCTCCAGGTAGGAGGCCAAGCGGTCATTGAGATTCTGCATTGTCTCCTTCCCATTCCCACTGAGGAGGGTAACACCTCGTCCGGACCTCCATGGACCTCCAGGGGGCAGGCAGTTGGGCCTGGCGAAGGACAGGGAGATGCGGTATCCTCCTGCGCCACCGTGGACGCTGGGAGCTCGGGGGAAGTACCTCTGCTGGCTCCAGCTTCCTCCTGTGCCAGGGAGGAAGCCCGAGGAGATCTGATTGAAGCTGTGGCTGGAGTTCATGGTCCCATCTGTGTGTGGGGCAGGGCTGGGCTCTGCTCGGCTCCCTGGCACCACAGAACTGAGCCGCCCTAGACTGCCCGGGATGGTTTTATGCCCTTTGCTGTGGGAGTTCCCTTCTCTGACAACTGTACCAACAAGATCATATCATTGTGCAACAAGTGTTTCCTCTTGGTCAATCTGCAGTGCTTGGGGCTTACACACATTGTTGTTGTTTAGAGCCACATCATTGAGCCAGTGTGCTTCCTCCCTTCCAGTTGTAACTGGAGGTGTGGCTTTACGACACTAGGTAGATACTAGTCTCATGTGCCTTGCTAATAATGTTTCAGTGAAGTTTTCCCATTGTCCATCTGTCTCAATGGGATCAGATTAAAGTTCACAGAAGGGTTATTTGGTCTGGTAGATATTTCCTTTTAAAAATTAGAAATCAAACATACACACATACACACGTTGATTATAGAGAGGGTCAGCAGAGAGCTTCCTAAGAGTTGAGGCAGATCAGAACCGAATCTTAGATTCTAGAATGAAAATACTTGTGCTGAGGAATTGGAGAGGTGGTCAAAATATCTGATGCCTTTGTGGCAGTTGCTATTTGATGGAAAGTAATTTCCAAGGAACCACCCTTTTGCGAACCAGACCTCAATTACTATTAATTAATGACTGTGACTACTTCCACTTCCCATGTGCCTTTCATCCATCTGAGCACACCTCAAAACTAAACAGAGGAGACTATACTCAGGACTGCCCTTGCCCCCTGGGCAGAATGAAGCCATTGCTTAACTGCCCAGCAGCTCTGCCCCAGAGTCTGGAAAGGCTGGGCCCGGTGGGTCTGTGCCCTGCAGAGGGAACAGGGAAAGCAGGAAATGTGCCATGGGCTGTCTATTTTGCTTGATGAATTTTTCTTTTTGTCTGCCAAGGTAAAGGTGAATAGAAAAGGAGGTTGGGGGTAGGGATCCCTGTGCTGGTGTCTGCTGACTAGATTTAAAGGGAACTTAGAAGTAAAAGGTCAACATTCTGTAGTTTGAGTCATTTATAGTACAGATGAGGAAACTGAGGCCTGTGGAGGATGCATGACAATGGACAAAACAAGTATAGGATTCTTTTTGCCACATAGCACTCTGACTATGAGTTGAAATTGACTTAATGGCATCCAGTAACAACAACCACCATCACAATGGTGATTAATTAGTGGGAATAATATTCTTCTCTTATTCCCTTTAAGGTTCAAGTGATCAGTAGAGATGAACTTCTTTTGTTTCTGATATTATCAAGTTATGTCTTCTCTTTTTTCTTGTCTAGATGTTTACCAATTTTATTGATCTTTGCAAAGAACCAATCATTGGTTTAATTATTTTCTAATTTTTTTGTTCTTTATTTCATCAACAGTTTCCATTATTTTTCTCCCTACTTTTTCTGTCTAAGTTACTCCTCTTTCTCTAATCTCCAAAAGTAGAAGCTTAGATTATTCATTTTAACTTTTTGTTCTTTTATAACATATACAATTAGTGCAATGAATTTTCCTCTAAGTGCTGCTTTTGCAGGAGCTAACAAATCTGTGCATTTAGATGAAATATTTTAACGTTTCTCTTGAAACTTCTTCTTTGACCCATGCATTATTTATCACTGTTACCATGGAGCTGAATCTTTGTGGAGTCCTTCACAATTCTTCTCTTTAATGATGATAATGAGACTTCCAAGTATACATTGTTGTTGTTGTTATGTGCCTTTGAGTTTGAACTAACTTGTAGCAAGCCCTTGAGCCAGTTTTCAGAGACTGTAAATCACACAGAAGGATTGAGAAGGGAAGATTGATTATCTTTCTCCCACAGAGAGCTGGTAAATTAGAATGTGTACCTTTGGGTTGGCATCATCACCCCTTATATTAGTTTACCAGTACTTCCTGTCAGTATTCATGTTGTTGTTGTCATCATAAGCCATTAAATAGAACTGACCCCTACCTGACTCTTCCCATCCTTCTCAAACTTGGATTCAAACCACAAGCCTTTGGGCTTGCAGCACAGCCTTGATATCCTTTCTTCAACCCTCATAACTCCTGATGTAAGCAGGCAAGAGTTACTATCACCATTTTATAGATAAAGAATCAGGAGGCCATAGAGCAGAAATGATTAACAGCAGACTTGAGTGCATGGAATGAAATTCAGTACATGCATTCTTAGGTGTCACTACCTTTACATATGCTGTTTCCTTTGCCTGAAAATTCTTGTCTGTGTTACCCAACCCTGTTCTACTTCCTTCATGTCATAGTCAAAATGTTACTTACTTTAACAAGAATTTTCTTAATTCTCCTGCATAATTTTGATGTCAGTTATATGATGAAAACCTTTCTTCTGGGTTCTAATATCTTTCAGATGGGCAGGCAAGCCTGTTATGCTCTCTCCACCCCTACCATAGAAAGTTGGAGTTCCCCAGTTGAGGTAGAGACCAGCTACCGCTGGGAACTTTCTGAAAGCTGAAATGATATCTTCTGTCTTTCAAATATCTAATTCTAGTATCTTGTAGCCACTGAATACATGTGTATTAGCTGAATAATGAACCTTTGAAAGCCAGGTTTTAGTTGGGGGCATCTGGTGCCCCCATGCCCTGCTTCTTTTAAGAGTGTGAGTTATAGAACCCAAAACTCAAACTCAGTGTTGTTGAGTTGGAACCAACTCCCAGTTGGCCTGCCAGTGAGTTTTCAGAGGTTGTAAATCACACAGGAGGGCATTGCCCGTCTTTCTTCCATGGAACCACTGGTAGATTCAAATCACCAGAAAGGCGTCCCCTTTGTGTTTGCAGCACAACTTCCTAAAGTCTATACCATGGGGTGGGGGAACAATCCATTTTTAATCTTAAGTAAAATCACCTAGAACACATCTAACTCTGCTCATTCTTCCCTTACAACAAAATCTTATAAAGGATGGCCTTTTGGATTTCCTTCACCTTCCTATGCACCTTAGAGGGTGCTTAGAGTTAGTGCTTTCAAACATCTCTCAAACTCACTGCCGTGAATTGATTCCAATCAATAGCAACCTTCCATTGGGTTTCTGTGGCTGTAAATCTCAATGGGAGGAGATTGCTCATCTTCCTGGGAACCACAGGAGATACAAGGGCCTTTTGTTTAGCAGTAAAACACAGACTATGAGACTAGAGCTGCTTAGCCATATGTATAATCTCAACCTATTTCTATTATAGATCCAACTCTACTTGTTTATCATGGAGTTAGAAATAACTCGTAACTGATCCTTCAGCAGATTTACAATGTTGTAAGCTGCATGGGAGGAGAGTGCCCATATTTTCTCTCTGAGCAGCTGATGGAGTTTAACTGCCAGAAAGGTGTGTTCTCAGGGTATCAGTATAATACCTTAAAAACTGTGTCAAACTGGGGGGGGGGGCGGCATCTTCATCTTATTTGGCTTGAAAAAACTCAGTCAAGACTCAAAGAAGCCTTAGGAGGTGCTGAGAGGCAAGTGCGGGAGCTCTGGTGACCTAGTGGTAAGGAGTTGCATTGCCAGCCTGAGGGCACATACGTTTGAATTCATCAGCCACCTTGCAGGACAAAGATGGGCAATTTCCTCTTGTGTGACGAGAACTGCAGCTTTTAATATAGATTGCATCTCAATGTACAGAAAACCGAAATTCTTACCACTGGACTAATAGGCAACATCATGATACATGGAGAAAAGATTGAAACTGTCAAAGTCTTCCTCTTACTTGGATCTATAATAAACACCTTTGGTGCTAGCAGTCAGGGCATAAGGAGATGTATTGCACTGGGAAAAACTGTAGTTGGGCTACTCCAAAGTACCAAGGAGCAGTGATGTAAGTTTGAGGACTAAGATGTGCCTTATTCAGGCCATAGTCTTTTCAGTCACCTGCTGCTGAGAGCTGAACAATGAATAAGGATGACAGAAGAAGAATTGATGCCTTTGAGCTGTGGTTTTGGAGAAGAGTGCTAAATATAACATGAGATTTGTGACCGTGATTTTTCGTTTTCTAAATATATGTACATATGTATGTGTATCTGGCAAGCTGTGGTGGCTTAGTGGTAAGGAGTTGGGTATTAGCTAATGTACAGATACACAATTCAAATCTACCAGCTGCTCTGCAGGAGAAAGATGGGCAGTCTCCTCCAGTTTGTAAATGAACTGCCTCTAAACCCACTGGAAGGTCAGCTGCGGGTCAGTTCCGACTCAAAGGTACACAACAACACCATGAAAGACATACTAGTTACATGTTTTCTGTGGGATTTTACAGCTTTAATAGTATTTTTTTTTAATTGTACCTTTTTTTTTCACTTTGTTATTGTGTACCATAGAGTCAGAACCAGTTCTCCAGTGGGTTTTTAGAGGCAGTGGCATCCACTTTCTAAATAACATGCTTCCGGAAACTGTGAACTTTGATAAATGTCGATAGTGGTAGAGGGGCTTCAGGCCTTTTGTTCATAGGGTCGTTATGCTCGACTCCAAGGGAATCAACAACAACAACAACAAATAGCATAGGAGGAGACTGCCCATTCTCCCTCTCACCATTTAGGAGGCTGGAAGTTTGAATTCAAAACTCTGACTCTAGGCAAAGATCTTGCTTCTGGAGAAGGATTCTTGCATGGCTCAGTTTCTGGAGCCCTAATGGCCCTTAGCAATCTCCACATGGTGTTTATTTTCTCCCCATTTGTGCTTATTTTGCACCTAATCTGTATTTTATTGATTGACTGATTTGATTTGAGGGTAAGTTTACAAGGAAAATTGATTTTTCATGTAACTATTAATATGTTGTTGTTGTTGATTGCCTTTGAGTTGAGCACGACTCATAGCGATGCTATGAACTAAAGACTTGAGCCCTTTCTACAACTATCGACATTTACCAAAGTTCATAGAGTTTCTGGAGGCATGTTGTTTAGAAAGTGGATGCCACTCCTGCTTCCACTATTAATATACAATTTTCTTTATAACAATAATTACAATACCCATATTGTAACCACACTTTCCCCACTTCCTATCTGTGAT